GAGAGAGTTTCTCTTTAATGAGGTTGAATCCGACTTGATTTTTAATTAGTTGAGATTTAATGTGATTAGTAAATATGAAAAATTAGTATAAAAAAAACATAACCTAGTAAGGTAAGTAATCAATTGTAAAATGAGGAAAATATGAGATAGTTTTTTTTTTTTTTTTTGCTACATGAGTGAAAACTAAAAAAATAACAGTAAGGAAAAAACTAGTAACGGAAGAAACTAGCCCCCATAGAATCCCTTATCAGGATAGAGTGTAGTCCAGTTGGTAAAGAGTCCAAAATGGTGGTGCCTGGTGGAGAGGAGTGTTCCAAAGCTGCCAAAAAGTCAGCTGCAGAGTTACCTTCACGTAAGGTGTGCTGTAAAGTGCAAACCTCAAACTCAGCCATCAAGTTTCGTATATCTAGTAACAAATTGGCAATTAAATTCTCCAAGACCCGGCCTTCATTGATGAATCGGACAGCAATCATAGAATCCATTTCAGATACCACATGGGTGAGATCCATGGCTCTGCAAAGGCGAAGCCCTTCTCTTAATCCCCACAATTCTGCTAGAAGAACTGATGCACTGCCTATATTGACAATAAAGCCTGAAATCCAGCGTCCTGCTGTGTCTCTGATCAGACCACCGGCACTCGTAGAAGCCATTTCATGGTTATAAGAACCATCTGTGTTTAACTTAAAGACACCCTCTTCTGGTAGTACCCAACGAACCCAGCGGGGAAGTTGAGGATGGGAATGCAGAGGACACATGGCTAGTTGTGTGTACCGAGCATGCTGTACAATAGTGGAACATAGGTCCTGAGGTCGAGAGACAAACGATCTGAAGATAAGTGCATTCCTAGTCTTCCAGAGATGGCATATCGTCGAGAGAAACAATGCGTTTCTAGGCAAGGTATCCTGTTGAGATAGTTGTTTATAATACGATATAATCAGCTCTCAAGCCCAGACTTGCTTTCCAAAAACGAGAATCGTGAAAGATTTTCTTCTCTTCCGACTTCCGAGACACAAAATTGATCATTTCTAAAACGAAATTGATTATATAGTACTATTTTATAATTTGATATAAATTAAACATATAATATGTTTTCTTTAATTACATTTTTTTGGAAACTGTGCCAAGAAAATTGAAATCTTAGTTGCAGTTGGCTAAAAATATTTGTGACTTTCTCGAAAATGCTTTCCAGGAAGATAAAACCAAACACGCTCTAAACAAATATATTAGTATGAGAATATCAAGATTTATTAATATATATATATTTTTTCTTTCCCTTCTCTGAACTGATTTTTTCTTCTAAGATAGACGGTAAAATTTCAATCTCATAACAAATATATTTCTCTAGTAAATATATGAAGTTGATAATCATTTCGACGACTCACTCATTTGAAAGAGGTCTCGGTAGTGTGTGTATCGATATCGGCAGGGAATGGTCCATACTTCTTCGTCAATATTTAGTTACTACAACAGTACAACGTATCAGAACGACTATTTAAGGAGTCTTTCATGTGCTTATAATCCATGAGTTCTCGAAAAAAAAAAATTAATAATAAATCTAATGTGAGATATATCACAACATGTATTAATTTTAACAAGTATATGATTGTACATTATACAACAAGAGTTGGATCTCTAAAAATAATATAATTATAATATTATATGATATTATAAATTTATAATATTATATTATTATATAATTAATTTTTAAAAAAATTTATTTATAGTATTATATGTATTTATTTATTGAATAATATATTATATTTATTTAATATTACGTTATGATTGTAAATTTATAATCTTATATAATATTGTTGATAAAACTACAAAATAAAAATTCTAAATTCAAATCTTAAAATAAAAAGAAACAAATTTAGAAATTAAAATATGTGATTTACTAATTTCTTTTCCTGAAAGATAGAGGGAGAGAAAAGAGAGAGTTTTAGTTTGAGTATAAAAAGAACATCAAGGGCAATCAATTAAAATTTGTAGAATAATTGGTCCGTGATTTTTGAGACTTGTCACTTGGGGGTGATTCTCAACATTTATTATGGCGTTTTCAAATTGTCATTTGATTCCTTAGACAGACAATTTTATTAAAGCAATATTGGATTTGGCCCTACTATCAATCCTCTCATTTATTCTTTAATTTCAGCTCTCCGCCAACATAATGATGCCAAAACAAGAATTCAATATCCAAATTTTCAACTTTAGGAAAGGGAAAAGACTAGAGAATAGGAAAGAAAAGGAAAGGAAACGCATTTACTTCTTTTCCAATTACAATTCCTACCAAAATTATTAACCAAGTCATTACAATTCCAAGCCACATTTTGTCATCATCATGGTATCATCTCTTTATCCTCTTCATCAACCAACCAAACATCCAACAAAAAAAAAAAAAAAAATTTACAGAAACTGATGAGAAAAATCTTTAGGCCCTGTTTGGCACCAGAAAATAACTCATCAAACCCTAAAACACCCTACAACATGTTGATGGTGGTGATGAAGGGACCTTTCCCTGTCAATCATGCCCTGAACGTACCTAAATTCTTCCACATGACAAGGGATTGTGATTGTGCCTTTCTGATCGAAGCCGTACTCTTCTTCAGCTTCCTTCAAAAGCTGCATGAACAGTGGATGATTGAAGTAAATCACAGGCACTACAAATCTCTGCTGCTGCTCCCCTTGCCCCACCTTGATTGCCAAATACCCCTTAGGCACATCCCTCACTTGTTTTTTCCCATGATGATGAAGGTGAGAGCTCCTCAAACTTTTCTCTCCACTACCCATCTCTGCAAAGGAAAGGAAATTATAAAACAAAACAAAAGCCAAGCCAAACAAACCCTAGTTTTTCTACTATCTTTTTCCCGATAAAATTTTAGAGTGAAACGAATAAAAACAGCCAACGGTCTTCCGTGAGATTAAGGGAAGAGTATCTGAGAGATCTAGGAACATTCGCCATGGACAAGAACTAGAAAAAAGGAGTATTTATATAGGGTTCAGTGTTTTGCCGTTTAAATTGTAAAATTATTGAATAAAAGGGTTAA